TCTCTCTCTCTCTCTCTCTCTCTCTCTCTCTCTCTCTCTCTCTCTCTTTCTCTCTTTCTCTCTCGCCCTCCCTTATTTAAACACACACACACACACACACACACACACACACACACGGGGATGGGGGAGCTAGCTCCTGGGGAGGATTCACACTTTCTTAACCCAGAAAGGAGGATTCCATCATAGGCATGGGGCTCTTATTGAGTATGTAAACCAGTGACTGAGACATAGGCTTTTCCCAACAGACAAGGGGAGATGGGGCTGGGAAGAAGTGTGAGTTTGGCAGGGAAAATGTACTACTACTCCGGCAGCAGCAGCAACAATCTCAGGTTCCAGTAAGTAAGTAAATAAGTAAGTAAGTAAGTAAGTAAGTAAGTAAGAAGTAAATATCCTCTATAGCAGCCAGGAGCTAGGGAATGAGCATCAGTTCCATGTCTCATGAACATCTTAGTCCATATTAAAGAGGATTTAAGAGAAGAGAAAGGGGGAGAGAGTGCAAGCACACTTGAATTGTCTTCTCTTCATGGCTGCCTCTCATTTATCAAATACTGGCTTCCCCAGACCCATCATACTTTGTTGATGTTGTCAGTTCTTCCTCAAACAAATTGCTCACGCCTGCCTTTTCTTCCTTTGGGCTGTAAACACTCCTTTCAGGTTCTGATTTATGTTTTCCCACCAACCTACTGTTTGATTAGGTCTTGGTTGGCCTGGGCAAAGGCAGGCTTTATTTCTTGAACAGGGATTAAACACACCACAGGTCTTTCCATGTACAGGAAAGGATGGTTATGGGGGATCTAGTGAAGAGCTGATATTGGAGAGGGGGGTGTCTGCTCTGTCTGCTCCTAGTTATGACTAGGCAAAGGCTCCAGTCACTAAGTCTGTAGCTTCTTATTCTCTAGTGCTGGAAGCAATTTGGTAACATTCAGTCACTTACTGCTAATCAATTTCTATATCCCTTAAAATATTACCTCTGGTTTTGCAGTAAGTACCACACAAAAGGGACTTTTAAAAACATTTCTTCTCTGTGCTTCAGTGTTTTAACTCTCTGTTTTACACTGTCACTCTCTTCTTTTCTTTTTTTAGCATTTTCTCAAAACAAAGTTATGATTTCATTTCTTAGTATGAGAAAGAGTAAGCCAATAGTCAGAACCACATCATGTTAAAATTAAGCCGAGGTTGTTTCTGGCATGGCTTTCCCAGTGATCTTCAAAATCACTTTAATTTATACCCAATGTGTCTGTTCAAAACAAATAGATAGAAAATAAATATGTTCTAATCAGTGTTTGTTTCTGAACAAAATATAACTTGGAAAATAAAAAAAATAATGAGATTCAGCTTTAAGGTTCCAACTGTTTTCTTATTTTTATCAAGGAAGGCAGAAAATCAAAAGGAGTCTCGTGGTCCTCCATAGCTAACTTATGATAATGTATCTGAGTAGGTTTTGCTACCAAATTATTTATCTGTTGTGTCACAGAGTTAGTCCACCTATTTGAGGGCCAGGGACCAGCAGAAAAAAGCAAAAAGGACCCAAATAATGGTCCCAAGATGGGAGGAAATAGGATTGACAACCTTGGAGAGGCTGAAAACCAATTCTTCACCCAGCCGATACCCAGTTCTGAAGATATCTGTATTCCCCCGAACACCCACACTCCAGTGTCATTCCCTTCCCCACATCCTGCCTTTCTGTGTTTATAACCCCTGTGTGAGTGAATTACGATTTGAGAAAAAATAAATTATAAAAAAAAATAAAAAAATAAAAAGAAAATCAAAGGGAAGGGAAGCACAGTAAGCTGAAGAATACAAAGAGCAAGTGCACTTGGTCAACCCCTGTAACTAAGAGCTCCTTGGGCCATGAAATAGATGTTGGTTAGCTCACCTTTCCTAAAACACCACATCACTTCTCGTGCATGGAGGACCACTGATGAGATGAAGAGGGTCCTGTGCACATAGAAAACAATCCGAGAAAAACATTGAAAGAAAAACAACAGACATGTGCAGGGACATCTGATATTCCTGAATATCTCTCTCTCTCTCTCTCTCTCTCCTTCTCTCTCTCAATTAATCTTACAGAAGAAAAATGTGTAACACAAATAAAAGGGTTTCATAGTTTTTCATAAGGTATTCTCATTAGTAATTTGCTGTACTTACTAGTAAATACCTGCAGATTAACACTAGGGTGAATATATGTATTACATCCTGCTTTGTACAAGTTAGTGTTGTGAACTTCACCAGACGCCGTATAGAAAATGCACTGTATGTTAAATACCTTTGCCATCACAACAATGCTTCCCAAATCTCTTACCTCTTTTAAATGTATCCAAATAACGTCACTCCCATCAAGGATATTTCTTAGGATCAGTGAAGCTAGAATACCATGCACTCACTTCTCCCTTTCTTGATACCAGACACTTTGGAAAGAAGTATCTGTAGGTTGGAGCCATAGTCTGACTGGGTGAAGTAG